TATCTCTGGTCCTTTCAGTGCACTTACTTCTCCTTAGTGGCTATCGTGGGCACAATCTTTGTAGCTGAGAGACTACGTATTTCTAGATCTTGTTGTAGAAAAAAACTCTAGTCCTAAATATATGAAGGTCTGAGTGAACTAATCAGATGGTGCAAGTGTGGAATCATTGACAGATATTCTAAATATATTTGATAGACACATGGTCAGGGGCAAAGTCAAATCAGTAGAGACAGAAATAAGAAAAGGAATCCAACAAACATTAAAAACAAAGAATGGCAAGGACCTCAAGGGGCAACAGGAGGAAAGAGAAAACTGCGGAGGGCAGGCATTTAGAAGAAGTCTGAAGTCTGGGGGCAGCTCCCGGATGGACTCAGAGCCTAAGCAGAGAGAAGCTGTGCGGGCAGCTGTCTGTGAGAGGGAGATCCAGGGAGTGAACCGTCCATGGTGGCCTTGCCTGGAGGGCCTGCCGGTCTGAACTTGAAAAGACTGTGCACTGTTTTCTGGTAGAAAGTCCTTCAGGGCAGCCTGATGAGCAGACTCTACGGTGGTGATTCTAACAGGGTAGGAGGACATCAGAATCATTTTAGGTGTGGAGAGAGGGTTCACAACGTCCATCACACTGAGTCACGGTGCCTTCTAAAGGAGCGCATTCTCTTCACATGTATATTCAATTTGCATATTCCTGTTTTTAATAAGCCAGTTGCTAATGGGAGTGTGTCAAAAACTCTGCTCCTCTGATGACAGAATTGCCAAGAAGAGGTTTGGATGAGGAGCCAGAGTCAGTACAGAGCGGGCCAGGAAAGCTAGAGTGAGCTGTAAAGGCCTGGTAGGCTGTCAGCTCGCCTGAATAAGAGTGAAGGTGTAGCTTGGTCACCCCGTCCCTGAGGGATGGTGCCACAGAAAGGTAAACAGGGACCTGCCTGCCCTCCCCTGACCTAGGGCCCAGTCTGAGGAGAGGTCTCTCTGATACCTCATTGGATTTAAGGGCAATCGCTTGCTTCAGAGCTGGAGGGAAATTTGTGTTTGGGCCATTAGCCTCAGGGCCTCTGCCTGTGCCACGGGAGAGTGCGGACAGCTGACCTCTGCTTCCTCTGGATGGCATCTTTGTCCTGGTCACTGTGCAACTCAGGCCCCAGGAGAGACATCTGCTTTGGAGTCACTCTGTTTTCAGCTAATAAAGCATGAACTTCATGAGGGTAGTTATAGGGTCTTTCATGTGCTACCTCATTTTTCCTCTCTGAGCTTCCCCCTCCATGAGCTTATGTCCTGAGGGAAATTCATCAGCTTTCTGTTGGGCCCATATCTCAGCCCTGTAGGTGAGGAGCTGTATGAACATAGTAATTTTTGCAAATAAGCTCTAAAGGCCTATACTTAAAATTAGTCCTGAGGAGAAGGGTGGCCGTGTGAAACTTGAAACGCGGACCCCCACGGGGAGCCCTAGCCTTCTGAGTCTGGACTGTTTTCTCGGTTAGAAGCTCCAGGCAGTCCGATGAGCACACTCACTCGGCAGGGGCGATTCTAATGGGGAGGGGGGGACATCGGGGTCAGTTCCGGCACCAAGAGGGGAGGCTCGCGCGGTCCACACACACTGACTCGGAGCACCGTCTAAAGGAGCGTGTTCTCCTTGCTTTTATCCCTGAATTATAAATTGCAGTTTTAACAAGCCACTTGCTAATGAGAGCGTGTCATAAATCTCAGGTTTGCTGAGATGGGAAAAAAAAAAAAAAAGATGAGAAGGTCTGCTTTGGAGTAATCGGGGATTTGCCCACTGGCATTACAGGGAAGTTGCCTGGCCTGTTCTAGGCAGGACAACCTGCTCTGGCAGGACCCCGAAGCCTAGGGTATAATTTTTGACTTCATCCCTTCTTTGAAATTTGGATAATAAAGCCTAGATCTCTTCAAACTTAGTTCCTGCCAACCTTGACTGAGAACACCCATGAATTACATGGGAAACCTAAGTCTGTAAAAGGATAGAAAGACACTTAACTGGATGGCTTTTAGTGGTGATAAATGCAAGATCGTCTACATTGGCCCAGCAAACAAACTCTATATTTACAGAGAAGGAAGCTGAATCTAAGCAACAGCTCAGTGACATAGGAGGAGAGATTTCATTCACTGCTAGCTCAACAGATTTCAGTAATGGGACTTTTTTTTTAAATTGTGGGCTTAGATGTGTGCTTTCGTCTAGATCAAGGGAGGAAAATAATAATCCTTCTGCACTCTGTGATTTGCTTAGTCTGAGTCACCACCCTAGAGACCGTCCAGAAGAGACCTGAAACTCTTTTGTATTGTGAAAGAAGTTGTCTATATTTAGGCTGAGCAGGAAAGATCTAGGGGTAGGGAGATGTCCATGAGAGCTGTCTTCAAGCATTTGCATAACTGTTCTGCTAAAAAGGAACTAAATGCATTTGTTGTGGCTGCAGAGCTCAGAACTAGAATCAGTGGGTGAAAAGCAAAGGGAGAAAAAATTTGACTCAATAAAGACATTTCTAGTAGTCAGAAAAGTATAAAAAAAAGGAGAAGGACTTTCCTTAGAGGGTAATGAGTTCCTCCATGCATTTAAACAGTGGGAAGCCCTCAGCTGTAGGCAAGTGATAAAAGTCATTATGTACCCTGGAGACAGTTGAAGAGGGGGACTCTTGAAGTCTCCTTCAGCCTCCTGGGAGTGTGCCTTCTAGTTGGGTGTAGCTGTTGGTGCCATATTAAATACTGCATGTGTCAGGTGGGCAGAAGTGGGCGGAGTTAAGAGATCAGTGAACCCTTTGCTGGCCTTGTGCCAGACTTCTGTAACTAGGCACTGGCCAGCTCAGCTCGCGGGGCTCACACCATTTCCGAGGGTTCACGCATTGCCACATACAGTGCAGACCGCCCAAAGAAAAAGAATGGACCTTGTTGTGAAACCAGATTTCCATTTCAAAGTTAGCTTTGAGACCAATTAGAAAGGATACGTCAAAATTAAAACCATTGTGAAAATTAATCAAAGATTTAGAAAGGTAGAATGAACTCCAGAGAAGGAAATTACTGATTTAAACAATTGTTCTCACATTTTAAACTACATAATGAGCTAAAAATTATGAAGCCTCAGAGTGTAGCTATAAAGAGTTGTCTAAAACTAAAGTCAGAGTGAAATGTTTTAGCTTTCAAAACTAAAAAGCAGAACAATTACTCCCTACGAAAATGGTATAGGAAGAGGTTTCTGACCCCTACTAATTGTTTTATTATTCTTCAGAGGGGCACACTGGCAGCATTTCCCAGGGTTTTCAGTAATTACACTCCATTCAATACCTGAATTACAATAATTCTACGTGGAATATACTTGTGCCCTTTAGATGCAAAGCCTTTAGAGAAGTGAAAAAACAACTTAAAGTAAATTAGCAGGAAAATTATCATAGTTACTGTTTATTTCAGGGTTCCATATATCAGAGGCTAATTATACATTGTATGCTACAGTTTTTTGGAGATATTTGTAATATATTTCTCATGCTGTTCGACAGACATGCTGATTTTTAGGATCCCTTATGAAACTGGAGTTCAAACTTTTCCGATTGCCTCTTTGTATACGAGAAATCATCCAGTGCAGATACATGTCACTCAGCGCTTCCCAGGCCTTGAAGCTGGAGTATTCAGCGAAGTATTATGAATGTTCACATATACGTATCTCTAAAGCTTTGATGCTTCCAGGGATTTTTGTCCTGCCAAATAAGTTGATATTTTTTTAACACTACATAAGCTTTCTCAAAGTCATTTTTGATACTTTGGTAAGCCAGGGGTGCATGAAAGAAGATAGCAAGGAATGGAATTATATAGCCACTCAGAGATTAGAAAGTCTCATATCTGGGCCGGAGCCTTATCAATTTTCTACTAGCGTTAGAATTAATCCACCATGTCTGCAGGATCCCCTTTAGAATCTGAGCAGCAGTTCTGAGACAGTGCACAGAAGCTGGGGGTCCCAGCTGCTATTAAAATATCATGAGCAAGAAATGTATGTCTTGGCCAATAAATGGTGCTTAGGTCTCACTGATGTTTTCCTTCATGTTTCTGTCCCCCCCTTTTTTTTTCTCCTTCCTTCTTTTGTTAAGTAAGTCAAATAAAGTACAAAAGATTCCTTAATAATTCTTTATGTCAACAAAAGTTTACAAAGAAGTTAAGATTACTTAATGACAAAATTAACAAAGGATACCTTATGATCCATCCATAGTCTTGAATAACCACTCATTTAAAAAATATTTTAAGATGCAAACCGCATCGAAGATAGTCACAGTGCCCTGTGAAAAATTCCAATTACAATAAAAATACATGTCTTCAATTTTTTTGAAAAATGTGCTGTTAGAAATTTAGTTTTAAAGTAGTAGAAGCAAATGTACCAAAATATTAATTAAAATTCCTCTGTGCAGAGCTATTCTGAGTAGTGTTTACTTTGCTCTTAACATTTTCTGTATATTTTGATTTTTTTAAATGTGCATGTGTTAGTGCTATAATCAAAAAGGAAGTAAGGAGGGAAATTAACATTAAAACACACACTTTTGCTGGAAATTAAAGAGGTAAGTAATACATAGCATATAGAAAAATGCACGGGTAGGACATTTTGACTATGTTCAGTCAGTCTGATCTGAGTCCTCTTCTTGGAGGAACTTAACGAGTGAACCTTTCTCTTAACAAATTCACAGTGACCTCCAAAAGGTGAGAGCTGGTCCTCCAGAGTAAGGTAGTCTCAGCAGCAACAGACTGCTTTTTGTGTCCTGAGGAACAAACAAATGACAGAATGGCATCATGCCATTGGTACTCCACACCTGAAAGATATCTTGTCTGTGTGAGTGGGGGTGCTTCTTTCTAGTGATTAAACAGGTTATACATGAGCCAGTTGCCTCCAGATAGCACCTCAGAACAGGCTGTTTTACACGGTCCCAGGTATTGCTGAAATAAATAATGGTTTGTTTTCCTTCTTGGATTATACACTAAGCTTCCTTGCATTTCAGTCTTTTCTCTTTATTCTTTTTTAGCGCATGATTGCAAATACTGCCAGAACAGTGAGATACTGCAGAAGCCAACCTTTCAGTAAGTTCATTGCTGCCATATGGATTGATGGTGATTGGATCCTTTTTAAATGAGGCTACTGAGACATTGTAGAAGTCTGGACAATATTTGATTGTGTCAGAGACACTTTGGACCATGAAATCCATGGGATAGGAGCCTGAGTTTAAGGATTTTCTAGTTGCTAAACTAGAAAATGACCATAAGGCTATTATTTTAAGAATGAACTTAAAGAGAATTAATTTGCCCTTTCCATTAAGGCTAGACACAACTAAGGCATGATTGCCTCAAACCAACTTTCTTTATGACTCAACTGCTTGATATTGAGAAACTCACATCAACTCTTGATCAAGCAGGTCTGTTGTTCAAAACCGAGAAAGATAATATGTATCATTTCTTGCTGTGTTGCATGAATTCATTAATGGGTATAGCACATTTGTAAAAGGTTCCATAGCAGGAATTTATATTATATTTCTAGTATTCCCAGGTGAATTTAAGGGGCTCTTCTTAAATCTGAATATAAAACACAAAAAACTGGTATAACACAATGCTTTAATATGAAACTATTGCTCATAATAAATAACAATTTTAAAACTGTTTAGAGCTAAGTTGCATCATAGCACCTGATCAGCATGCCAGTCAGTGCTACTGTCTCCTCTGGGCTGGGGTTTTGGGTGGAGGGCAAGGTTTGGGCTCCCACAAATTCGGCTGGGAGTGAGAAGGTGGCCCCTATAAAGTTTTGTGCTAGCTTCGTTGTATGGATTCCTTGAAGTCACTTGGCTCATTAAGTCAATACAATGATTTGACATAAACATGACTGTGAGGCTACCAGGACCACCCCCTCCAGTCGACCCATTGCTAAGACACTTAAGAGATCTCATTTTATTAATCAGAGCTCTCTTTGTTCTTCTTAGCATAAGACTGGCCACAGTGAGCGTTTGCTAACATGGGACTCCAGAAGTGGCGAAATGTTCCTTTTGTTCAATGTACAGCAGAAATAATCTAGGAAAAATGATCTTGATTTGGGGAGCAAGTAGACCTTTAAAAAACCAACTCGAATGATTGTACCTTTTTATCCTTGCAAAGTGAGAATAATCTTGCCCTTCACCAACCACTCTGCCAGAGCTGAAGTGTCTCACATCTCCTCATCTAGCAACTTACTATATGGATAAAGACTTGGTCATAAAGCAGTTAGACAAGTGAATATGAGGATATATAGTTGGTGCCAGTCTACAACAAGGGTTTGTAATCTAGAATCCATGGGCCTTCGAGGTGGGGGCAGGGGGGTAGGTCTAGGAAATTCCTGAAATTGAACACAAAATTTTGTGGGCCTAAGAGGGTTCATAGCCTTGAGGTTCTCAATGAGGTTCAAGAACCAAAGAACCACGGTAAAATATGTTTTGTTCCATAAGCCTCTTTAGAAGTAAACCCCCATCTGCCTACATTTTCTCCTAGAGCTATGGCAGGGCCGGGGGAGGGGGGGTTCTGAATTTTTATAAATATATGTAACTCTCTGCTGCATTTGTTGAAGTTATCAGTGACTGCTGGTAAACAACAGCTGCTCAGCTCTGAAGTCAACAATCTATAGATAAAGCTATAGGAATAGATTCATAAACATTGTGGGAATATGTACAATGTAATTACAGTATATTGTACATGTGGAGTACACTGCCAGTGAGAAGCGAGGAAATTAAACACTGTGGCATTATTTATATGTGATAATTATACTGATGAGTTTCTTCTTAGAGCAAGTAGGGGCCTTTGTATCTTCTCTCTGCTTTTCTGTGTTCAGACCTGCAATGCTCCCCTCAGCCCTTAGGCAGATGGCGTCCTCATTGCCTCTGAGAGGGGCGCGGGCCGCTAGGAAGAGCATATGGACTGCAGAGCCCTGCGCTGTGGCGGAGAGGACTCTGGGTTGAGTCCAAACTCTGGACCGGCCATTGCTGGTGTCCCACTGCTAGCTAAGAGCCCCATGCCAATGATCCATGTGACGGAGGTGGCCCAAGGACCACAGCAGAAATGCTGGGTCTAAACTGAGCATTTTTTTAACCTTTCATTTTATAATAATGTCACCATTTAATAATTGAGAGAATCCCCAGGGAAGAAATTCAGATTTCTCAATTCTCTAGAAAAAGAGAAAAATGATGAGTGGTCACTTCCGGAGGGACCTGCCTGTCTAGTTTACCACTGTCAAATTTGGCCTTCCTCATTCATGTGTGTTCCCCGTGTAGGGCTGGGAGCATTTGATTCTTCTTTCAGCCTGGTTTTAGGCGAATCAATCAGCTCTGTGGCTCGCATCTTCGGAGGAATGAAGGAGAATAGAATGGTAACTGGGATTTCAGAATAAGTTACATCAGAGAATCAAAGGTCTAGCAGAAGCCATGACTTCAACCCATGAGTTGTTTTTTTTGCCTGGATATGGACATCTCTAAGAACACACATTTTCTGCAGTAATGCTGTATATTGTGTGCAAGTAACAAGGGGAGTTGGACTTACTAGTCTCACTGTCTGGCGTCAGTTCTGCCCAGGTTTAAATGCTTTTGTGAGGAGCTCATGAAAATGGTCTTTTGTCGTTAGTCCACACCTGGATCAGAAGGGGCAGAGAGCAGAGTATGAGACATAGGTGGGATGGTATGGAAAACAATTGTTATGTATAACCGGAGACTAGCAGGTGATGCTTTCACTTCTTTTTTAGTGACATTTTTTTTACAATATGCAATGCAAAGGAAAATGATCAAAATAGGCGGTTCCAGGGAAGAAAAGGGTGAGAGGGAGGAGATGGACCATCCAAATGGAAACATTTCAATGAATATGGTGGTGTTGAAAGGTCTTGACAGAACCCAGCAATCTAAGATAAATGTAATAAGTAATTGGAGAAGATAAAGCTGTATCTTTCCTAAGGCTGTATACATTATGCAATGCCAAGTCTTCTCTTTTTCAACAGATCTTGATGCAGCTCAAGCTAATAAGAACCATCAGGATGTCCGGAGTTATGTACGGCAATTAAATGTGATTGACAACCAGAGAACTTTATCACAGTTGTCACACCGTTTAGAGCCTCGTCGACCATAGACATTTAAAGTGCCCAGAACGATGGTTTGCCTTCAGTCCACAATCTTTCAAAAATGACATTTATGCTTCTACTGACTGTATTGTCACTAGAAAATTCTACAAAACAAGCAAAAACACATTGGGGCTGCATTCAGCTTACCAGCGTCATGACAAGAGAAGAAATTATTTGTTTGCATAAAGCTTGCACTCTCTAGCTTAGGAGTCCCCAGTTAGTAGTCACCCAACTTCCTTTCCGATTGTGCCATCTTCTTTGCTGAAACATAAAATAAGACCCACATGAAGAGTTTGGTAGAAATACCATCGTCAAGAGAAATATCAAGGCCCTGACATTTTTTCTAAGAATGTTTACAGGGTGAGATATGCTACATAAAAATGGGATTTATTTGAATACATCAGTGGTCATATAGTTTCATAATTTTTAACTTAACATCTTGATTTGGAGCATGAGGTTTTTGGAAGGTGTTGAGTAATTAGTATCAATCCACATTATAGGTTGTATTCTTCCATCTTTAGAGTCTTACCTCTGAAGGAATTGAACCTGACCATATTATTATAAAACATTATGACTCTTTATGTAATTTAGGGAGGACCAGTCTACAATTTCTGAATGATATATAGAATAATATTTATGTTTACAATGTAACTTTTTTAAACTAACAAATCAGGATTACATATACAAGAATTCCACTAAGAAACTCCAAGGTTCTTAAAATTGCCAGCATTAAGATTAAAAAAAAAAAATTCAGATGAGCACAATATGCACAGAACATTTTTCAAAATTAAATATTTTCCTGGGCATTAAACACCTTTACTATTGGCTAATTATTGTTACTGATTAAAAAAAATATTTTCTGGACTTAAATTTATTACAAATATCTTAATTTTCAGCAATTGTTTTGCACTTTCAGATAGAGTGTAAATAGTTCATTCAATCAATGGTATAGAGTTATTTATTTGCTACATAATAGATATTGTGCCAAATAATTACTTTTTATTTATTTTATTTAGTATGTAATTTTGGGTACATTTTTTCCTGGTTTCACAGTTAGGCTACATTTAGTGTGTAGGAATTGTATGTATGTATATCTTCTGTAAATAACAGCTAGTATCTTCATTAAATACAATTGTTGACAAGAAATGGTTGTGTTTTCAATTCCTCAAATATGGGAGAGATAACTATTTGCTATAGCGGGCCCTAGATTTTTAAAACTCAAATAAAATTCACATACTATAAAAGCCACCTATGTAAAAGGTACAATTCGGTGGGTTTTGGTATATTCACAAGGTTGTACAACCATCACCACGTTATAATTCCAGGACCTTCTCCCCATTCCTAAAAGAAATCTCATACCCCTAGTGGTCATTCTTCATCCTCTTCTCCTCCCAGTCCCTGGAAACCACTAATGCAGACATTGTTTGAAATAAACAGAATTATATGTGTAACATTTCCTATCTGATTTCTTTTCCTTAGCACAATGTTTTCAAGTTCACGCATGTTATTGCATGTATGAGTACTTCATTACTTTTTATAGCTGAGTAATATTCCATTGTATGGGTGTACCGCTTGCTATTTGTCCATCCATTAGTGGGACACTAAGGCTGTTTCCACTTAGAGGCTACTGGGAACATGCTGGTATGAAGGGGCACTGGGTGTTAAAGCAGCCTGGTACGGGGCCTCATACCATTTCTCAGTGACTTACGCACTTAATAAATATTTGATGAAGAGATTTCCAAAGTTCTTTAACTTCCAGACATCTCTATTTTTTCATGTCAGCATTTGCCGCAGCATGTTCCAAGCTGCGCTCATCTCACAAGTTCGCATGCTCTATCCAAAAGCGGACACACAACTGCAAAGCAAAAAACATAGCCAAAATGGTATCTTCAAATAAATCTGAGGACCAGTGTGTAATATCCCCCACTCCTCGAAGCAATTCTTCCTATTCAGGAATGGACGAGAGGCCCTGAGAAGCCCCCTGCACCCCTCTTTACCAGCCCACAGCCGAGCCCACTCGGGGAACGGCTGAACAGGCAGGGGCCCCTCTGTGTCACTCACTCAGTAGCTCCAGGGAGGTCCTCTGGAGCAGGGGTTTTGTTTCAGCCGCGTTATGCCTCCTGCCCCAAGTAGAGCACAACACTTGGAATTTACTAGGGAAAAAAAGCCTCTGAATAGATTTTCTTGACATCATTATTGTTCAGCCTTTCACTGTCTCCTAGACCTCAATACCAGAGGTGAGGTTTTCACTTACATGCTTTTCCTTCTCTAGGTCATTTTTCAAGATGACAAATAATGCCAAAAGCCAAGCCCTTGCGTATCCTTGCTCTTGTTTTGCTCTTTCTTACTCCTACCTTACAGCTGGTATCCTGTGTCTGACAGCTCCTTTCCCCCATGTCCATGACACCTTATAAAATTATTTTAATTTGGTTCCCACATTATTCATAATTAATACATATTCTCCCAGGTATATTCTCCTTGGCCTTCCTAGTGAGAATAACTGTTGCTGTACTTAATAAAGATAAGAAATTATTAATTATGCCTGTCTTCCTCAAAAAATGCATTAAACTCCATTATTCAAGGTAGCAATGGCTAAGTGAAAGAATTCTCACTCTAAAAATGGGGAGTACGGGCCACGTGGAACTGCCATACTGTCTTCCACAGTTGCTGCACCCAGACGCGGGAGCTGCAGTTAATATTTTCAAACTTGCAAACAAGCCAAAAGAAAACGAGATGCCTATAGGGTCACAAGAAGGATAACGAGGGTTGCAGAAGACATGAAAAAGAAGAAAGAATGTTTTCATCGAAAGTGCCTGTAAAAATTATACATTTAAGTGTTTAACATATCTGCTTAGCAGGGTCACTGGTACAGTGTCCAGGAACCAAGCTGTTTCAGCGATTTTTGAACACCATGCAGGTTAAATAGATTTCTTCTGAATTCAGTGGCATTTCCTGTGAAATATGAATGCAGATCAATGACTACCCATGTGAGAAAATTAAAAGAAGTGTCATTCTGGTTTCAAATTGTGCTTATAATTTTTTTAAATCAGCATAGAATATGCAATATGGTAAAAATGAACTCTTACCTTGAATAGCTTTTTTTTTTTTTTTTTTTTTTTTACTGTCAATCTAATATGTATTACATCTCTTGTTTCAGAATAATCTTAGTTTTCTCTATTTGTCCTACCTGGAGAAGAGTGTGATGAGTCGGTCACAGCATCCCTGCCTTATAAACTGGAGAAGAGCTATTAATTTAACTATTGTTTGTTATCTTTCTGTTCATTTGTTCGTCCATTCATTCATTCATTCATTCATTAAATTAGCAAATAATGGTTGAAGAGCTTGCTGAATGCCAGGCCCTCTATTAGCTCAGGATTCAATGGTGAGGAAAGTTAGAGGGTCCCTGTTCTCCTCGAGCGTATCATTCAGTGGGAGAGACAGAAGACTATCAAATAATCAAACACAGAATAAATATAAAAATATTTCCAAGAGAGGATATGGTGTTGCAAGAATATGTAACAGGAGGATTTAACCTGATCTGAGTGAGGAACTGTTTCCTGTGAAGTGACAGTTGACCTGAACTCTGAAGGATGGAAATGCTACCTCAGCAGGGAGGAGGAGAATTATGTTCTAAGCAGGAAATAACTTGCCAGTGTGAAGGATGGAAAGCTCACTGTGGCGGGGCAGAGAGAACTGGACAAGCACGCTCCACGATGGGCTGGAGACCTGAGACCGGCTCAGAGTATTAAAGGTCTTGCAGGCCTTTTAAAGGAGCTTCGTCTTTTGCCCAAGAGCAGTGGGAAGCCACTGAAGTGCTTGAGGCAAGGTGCTGCATTTCTAATGGTAGCCCTTGGAGAGTAAGGTCATTGCTTTATTTTTGTTTGTTTTGTTTTCCTGTTTTTTTTTAATGCTGCATTTTTTAAATTTTATTTTTAATTATAGTTGACATACAATATTATATTAGCTTCAGGTGTACACCATAGTGATTCAACATTTTTATATACCTCACAAAGTGAGTTCTACAGTAAGTCTAGTAACCATCTGTCACCTTATATAGTTAATACGATAGTCCCTATGCTGTGCATTACATCCCTGTGAAGGCCATTGCTCTATGATACCATACAGCAGGTGATACATGGTGTCATCCCTAATTCCTTAATTACTTTATTATGCAGGCTCAGAGATCGGACAGAGAAAATTGTGGATAATGGCAAACGTTAAAAAGCACGTGTAATTAAAATATGAAAAGTGCTGGACCCCGATGCCCACACGGAGTCAAGCACCCTTCCTCTTCCTGACTTAGTCCGTGCTGGGCCACTTTTTAATTTTTTGTTGTGGAAAAATATACTTACCATAAAACTTACCACTTTAACCATTTTTTGAGTGTACGATTCAGCGGCATAAAGTACAATCACATTGTTGTGCAACCATCACCGCCAACCATCTCCAAAACTTTTCACCTCCCCAAACGCAAACCACTCGTTACTCAGTGATCTCACTTCCGCCTCCCCCAGCCCCTGGTAACCACCATTCATTCCACTTTCTATCTCTAGAATTTGAAGGTTACCACGTACAAGTGGAATCACAATATTTGTCCCTTTGTTTCACTTTACGTGTCTTCAAGGTTTACCCATGTTGTAGCATGTGCCAGAATTTTATCCCTTTTTAAGGCTGAAAATATATGCCACATTTTGTTTATCCATTCATCCATTATCTAATTTGTTTCTGCCTTTGGCATCCTGAATGACGGTGCTGTGAACGTGGGTGTACAAATATCTGTTCAAGCCCCAGCCTTCACTGCTTTGGATATGTACCTAGACATGGAATTGATGAATTTTATGATAATCCTCGTCTAATTTCTTAAGGAACTGACATACTGTCTTCCACAGTTGCTGCACCATTTTATGGGCTACACGTAACATAGCCCATGCTTACCTATGTCATCTCCTTGGAGACTGAGGGTGCCAATGTATGGCATGGCTGCTGGGAAGAGCGGTGGCTAGGGGACCCAGGCTCAGTACGTAGCTGTCTAGGCATGGAGCAGAAAGTCTACCTTTGCCACTGTGCCCTCCTTTAAGCATGATGGCTCACAAGGCAGTCACATTCCTAGCACTTTGGTCTGTCCTTGCTGCTCTGCTGCTTAACGTATCCAACTCCTGTTGCCTGTTGCCTGACCCTTAAGGATGGGAGAACTGGAGGAAGTGGAGGAAGTAAAAAAACTAATCCCAAGAGAACAATGGTGTGGGAATGGGAAAGTGCCTGCCTCGCCATTGCCTATGCTCGTCTGGCAGCCAGGGAAGGTCAAGGATAATGCAACAGGAAGCCAGGATCTTTGTTCTTGGACAATTTAAATTTGGAAAGATTGGGGCCAAAGCTGTGTTATAAATAGAAATGAGCACAAGGCACTGTGAGCTCCTGGGTGCAAACATAGGAGCAACTCCAGACTTGAGGGATAAAGAGAGGCTGGGGCCAGGACATGTGGGAACTGCCCGATTCTGCAGTGGTTTTCTTCCCTCAGCACCGGCAAGAAGGGTTCAGACTCTTCCTAGGCCAGGAGATTCAAGAAGAGTGGAATTCTACAATGGGAGGACCAACACAAGAGAACAATGGAGACAAAGTTGGCATAAAAGTCTTCGGGACAGGTTTTTGCAGCACCTGTGAGTGAAAGTGGATTGGCAGGTCCTCATGAGGTCGCCATCCACTTAACTAGAGGCAGGTGGCAAGAGTCTCTAGCATGGTAACAACAGGGACCCGGCAGGGATGGAGAATTAATGGTTCCAGGAGGAGTCCTAAAATGTGAGCACCGAGGAATAGGTTTAGTCTCCCCAGGAAGGAGAAGGGCCAAGGTGAAGAGTCGCAGCAGCGCTGGGGGTAGACAGGTTCTGTACCAGCCACGATGCAGCAGCTTGAGAAGGAGGAAGAAAAAAATGTTTGGATACACCATACTAGTAAGTGTATCAGTGGCTGTGTGTGCCAGACAAACAGCACTATAAAATACAGGGTCCAGCAAAAATAATGCCCCTTGTTTATTACATAAAAATC